GGGGGTGGGGGGCAGAGGGAGGGCCCCCGTCAATAAACCCCCACCACCATTTTGGGATCTGCCTGGGAGCGTGCTCCTGGCTCCGAAGGGTTGCACGCAGCTTGGTGTAAAATGCAGAAGTGTGTTGATGGGGTTGCCGGCTGGCCGGCTCGCTGCTCCAGTGCCTTATCTGCCTTTGCATACCGAAAACGATTGAGAACAGGTTTGCTTGCTCTGGAGGTGAGCCAGTGCAGAAATTTGGTGTGTGTTCATTGGGTCTTGGTTTTTTTGGGCTTTTGGGTTTTTTGGGTTTGGTGGTTTTTTTTTTTTTTTTTTTTTTGTGTGTGGGTTTTTTTTTTTTTGGGTTTTTTTTTTTTTTTTCTTTGCCTTTCCAACGGGACAGCTTGAATTTCACTGTCCTCTTCCTTTATTTTTCTGGTTTGCAGCGCCAGGCTCCCACGCTTCTCATCCGTTATGTCTAGTCCAGCTTTTCCTTCTTCACGTGGTACCCAGAGGGGAGAGGCCTGCAGGGGTTGAGCCCTGCGTTGGTGCCCTCACAGAAGGCAGCAGATTTGTAAACCCGGGTGATTAATTGCTGTGTTTGCTGACAAATCTGTTCAGGGTTTGAGGAGGTGTGCTTCTTTTGCAACAGAGAGCATTTCTGCTTTAGACATTGATGTCAGCAAAGTTCAGCTGCTGGAACCTGAACTGTTTCTGTAGAATACAGGAATTAAAATCAACCTTTTCCTCTGAGGGTTTCCTTGATGTTGTGAGCGTCTTCCCTGCTGAGCTCTGTTGGTTTTGTAGGAGCGCAGGTGTGGGAAGGCTGGAGCCTTCTGCAGGGTCTTGGAAACTGTGGTGACCCCTGTGAAGAGTGTGCTTATGGGTGCCTCTGGCACAGCACCTGATTTTGGGTGGATTTGGAAGGGCAAGACAAGGCTGCAAAAATGGCCAGGCATGGCCTAGCTCCTCTCAGTTCCTCTTTGCCGTCCGACATCCTCCCCTCCCCTTCCCCCACCGTCTCTGACCTTGTCCTGCC